CCATATGTTGCTCCAACGAAGTCCAACATGAGCCCGCTCATAATCAGCAAAGTTAATTGATCCAAGAGCAAACGCTGTGGGTGAAAGCAAAGAAGCAATTATCTTCAACACCCTGTACATAAAAACAGCCAAATGAGTTCTAACAGCAAAAATCTTTTCCAGAAAGACATCTAGCATATTTTTTTTTGCTCTAATAAACACAACCAGCAAAGAATCATTGACAGAACAAGTACTTACATAGAGACAGCCTCATCATTAACAGTATAATAAGGAAAGAAGGCCCCAAGAAACGAAAGGGTTCCAACAGCCACAGCCGTCTTTGCTCGTGTGAAGAACGTAGAAATCAAAAAGGACAGCATGATTGCACTTAGTCCAAACAAAAAGAAATACACGAAAACAACTGTCTTATCGCTGTACTTGAAAAGGCTACTCATTGTACAAACAGTAATAACACCTGAGGAGACTGCAAACTGCAATGAAATATCCGGAAAAAAAAAACCATGAGAGCCTGATGGTTTAAAGATAGGAAACAAAGAGCAAATCAATTTCCAGGATGGAACATTTTCCACTGTGTCATGACTAGGACTCAGGATAAGAAAAATGAGCTTGAGGCCAGAGTAAACAATTCCCTACTGGTGTACAAAAGCTGTACAAGGGCAATGTGACATGGCAATCTCATTCTTTCCTCTTACTTCTTATCTGTCTTCCTCTCTCTATTCCTTTCATCTATTCCTTCATCTATTCTCACAACCTAAATTGTTACTGGTCTACATGTCAAAGGCTCCTGACACACCCGTAGAACTTAAAATGATGTAATAACATAAATAACAGTAAAGATTCTTCTTTCAAGGTTTTGGCTCACTAGTCCTGACAGCAATATGAGGAAACTAAAATTAAAAAGCTTCAACCATTCTGAACAAAACCTATGAGAGCTCCATAGCCACCCATAAAAATTAAAAATAAATAATAAATAAACGAGCAGAACATACAGAATAACTCAATTAAATATTTTCTATTACCAAGAAAAGGGTAAAAAAAACTCAACAGAGTAATCTAAATCGCCATCTCCATAAAACCTAGTGGAATAAGAAAACTGAATTTTGACATGCTTGTGTCTTCAACTTTTTTTTTTTTTCAAATTTATGTTAACATCATCTACGGTAGACATTTTTTTCTCCAGCAATCCAGTTCATCCTCATTTTATGGCAGGTCATGAGACCTTTGAAATATCTGGTTTAAAATTGGGAAGGCAACAAGTTAAATTTAGGAGTATTTGATAATGAGGGTGAGTACTGTGTTGCCATGAAAGCTGCATTTCAGGCCTATTTGACATTTCCACCAAGAGATGCTACGTTGGGACATACTGAGGAGACTATCAGAGATGTTCAGTTGATTCAAAATTTGAAAATTGGGATCTTGAGAAGCTAAAAATCTTTTCAAGTGCTTGCCACTAGCTTGTGTTTGCCCCAACAATCGTGTTTTGCCCGTACTAGTTGTAGGTAAGAATGGGGCCTTCAACATGAAGGCCTTCTATTGCAATTTGGCTTCTAGAATTTCCTTGCAAAGAAATTTGGAACCGAACTGCATTGCTTGTTTACATGCGAAGCAACTTGTTGCCAAATCTGATTATTGACAACTTGAGAAAGAGGGAAGATTTTCAGTTAAATGAACAATAGCAATTGATCATCCAAATATTAGTTCTTCTGGCTCCTTTTGCTCATCTCAATGGCTACTTCCTTTTGGTTCCTCTGTCTCTATTAGGCTATTGGCAGGTTAGTGATAGCAGCATTTTGGATTTGGAAGGTATTACAGCTGCAAGGGGCAAGAAGATCCTTATCCCTTCAGCTATTTCATGGGTTGTGTGTAGGGAAAGCGAAAGAAATAAGAAATTTATTTTGCCAAAGTTTGAGACCTTTGGTTCTAGATTTTTAGTCCACTTCACCCTCCAGCAGCATACTTGGAGGTGATGTTTCTGTCCAAAACAGAGTCCTTGTTTTCTATTTCAAGGAGACAGGAATAAGTAACATGTACTTCTTCACAAAAGCCAGATCCATGCATGCCTTAGACAAGTTCCGTATGAATAACTACACCGTCCACCAGTCCATAACTAACACCTTTCTTGCCCAGCACAAGAAAATATCTCGTCCTCACATTTCAATATGAGATTTTTTAAACAATACTCACAGCTTTGCAGTTTTGAAGGAAATTTGCATTTAATGGAAGCCAAGAGGATATGCAAAACTCTCAATTCAATAAAAGGCAGGGTGATTTGCAGAAAATCACCTGCAATGCATATGTAATAAACCATGAAAAGATGGAATATTCCATCTTTCAAACCCATCATGTAAAGGCCTTCTCTTATCTTCTGCTCCTGAAAATCAAAATTTTGAGTGGTGAGGTTATAAATGAGAATCTAGAACAAATTTTCTCCTAAAAAATACTTTCAGAAAAACAAAACAAAAGACTTGGTAGCTACACTCTAATTACTGTACCAAATTGCAATTAATGAAACATTACCAAACCTTCTCGAACACAGAAAAGCTGATTAAGCGAGAAATCGGATAGAGGAATCCCAAAAGATACCTGCTCCACGAATACTATATCAGCTAAAACTAATTTCGGAAATGGAAATTAATGAGTATTTCTTCTGACAAGAATGTCATAGCCGTGAATAGGAACAAGAACAGAATCATATCATAGAGATGCATACAGTACTCCCATGACTTTCTTGATGATGAACTGGAACTCATCGTCAGTGTATGCACAAGTTGGAAAGGGGGCTATTCTTATCTTTGAAGGGCTAAATTCTGTCCACTGTAGACTAAGTGATGACAGTTCCACAGTTTCGGTAGTAAATCCATCCCCAGTTTGCTGGGCAGCAAATATTATGAATGAATCTAACACTTGCTGAAGCTGCAAAATCACAAAAGCATCACAACATTGTTAACAGATTCCTGTACTTAACCTAAAGTGGCATAAATCAGGCAGCAACTTTCTAGATTAAGGATAAACAAAAAGCAAAGTCTTGCAAGATAAAATCAGAGAATTGCAGAACCAAAAACAAGCATCTTAGAATTTGACATTAAACATGGAAAATGGGGACAAACAGGAGAGAGTGAGAGGCAACAGAGTAAGAGCATATCACAACTAATAATTATGTAGATATATTTATCCATACATGTAAGTGTTTTTCTGTTACATTTTTACAAGAGGAAATGGCTGCCAGTGCACATACAAAAATAAATACATAACTTTCATATATCCTCCTTGGTAAAATTTGAAGAACTTGAGAAAAAGGAAAAAAACTTCTCTTTTCTTCTCACTCTCTTGTTTTTATCCATTGATAATCAGCAACATTTTATAGATAAAGAAAGGAAGAAAAAGACAAAAGTTAACAAACTTTCCTAATGGAAAGGAAAAAACAGCATAACCAGGCAGTAACCATTTTGTTATATTGTCAGGTTGTAAAAGATAAAAAAAAGAAAAAAATACAGAAAAATAATTCTACACTCCCCCTCAATTTAAGTTACATGAATATTTAGTAAGTCTAAATTGAATATTAATTCGTTAAAAAGTCTTTTGAAAAATGTTTTTGTTAAATATCTGCAGTTTGTTAATTAGTGGGAATGTGGAGTATTATAATGGTCTGATCTTCAATCTTCTCTCTGGTGAAGTGCCTATCTATTTCCACCTGTTTAGTTCGATCATGATATACCGGATTTTTAACTATACTGATTGTTGCTTTATTGTCGCACCATACTTTCATTGGAGTAGTGACCTAGAATTTCATTTCCATTAGAACCCTTTTTAACCACATTCCCTCACATATTTCATGAGCAAGTGACCGAAATTCAACTTCTGCGTTACTTCGTGACACAACAGATTGTTTCTTATTTCGCCAAGTAACTAAATTTTCCCAAACGTACGTACAGTACCCAGACGTAGATCTTCTGTCAGTTATAGAACCCGCTCAATTAGCATCTGTGTAGATTTTAATATTCCTGTTCATTGTTTTTTGGAAAAATAGTCCTTATCTTAGAGTTTTCTTAATGTATCTTAAGATCCGATATACCATATTCATATAAATATCAGTAAGTTGGTTCATGAATTGACTTGTAGTACTTACAGCAAAACTGATGTCAGGTCTAGTATGAGCAAGATATATAAATTTGCCCACAAATCTCTGATATCTTTCTTTATCAACCGACTTGCTCTTTTTAAATCTAACTTTTGTAGTTGTTTCCATGGGAGTTTCTGCTGGTTTACACCCGAGCATCCCTGTTTCTTTTAGCAGGTTAAGAACATATTTCCTTTGTGACACAGATATCCCCCTTTTAGAACGATCAAATTCCATTCCCAGAAAATACCTGAGTGCTCTAAAATCTTTTATCTCAAACTCTGTGGCAAGAAAACTTTTGAATTTTTGAATTTCCTCTATGTTATCACATGTTAAAATAATAGCATCAATATAAACAATTATGATAGCTTTCTTACAAGGCACTGTTCTTGACAAACAAAGTATGATCAGACTGACATTGCTCATAGCCCATATGTTTAACTGCTTTGGTAAATCTTTCAAACCAAGCTCTTGGAAATTGTTTTAGACTATAGAGTGCCTTTTTGAGTTTGCATACCTTGTGAATTTTATATGTGGTCTCAAAGCCTAGAGGAACTTCCATATATACCTCTTATTCTTAATCTCCATTGAGAAATGCATTCTTTACATCAAGTTGACAAAGAGACCAATCAAGATTAGAGGCAAGAGAGAGTAATATCCGGATAGTGTCGTGTTTAGCCACTGGGGTGAATGCCTCTTGATAATCTATCTCGTAGGACTGAGTGAAGCCTTTAGCTACTAGACGAGCTTTGTATCGATTCACGCTTCCATCAGGATTGTGTTTTACAGTAAATACCCATTTGCATCCAACTTTATGTTTTCCTGGTGGAAGTTCTGTCAGTTCCCAAGTTTTGTTCTTTTCAAGAGCCCTAATCTCTTCTTGAATAGCACCTCTCCACATTGGCAATGCAAGGGCTTCATGATTAGTTTTAGGTTCAGTGAGGCTACCATCAAGTTTGCTTATATATGCATGATACTTTGAGGACAAATTGCAGAATGAAATGTAATCCTGTATAGAGTGTTTAGTACAAGATCGAGTTCCTTTCCGCAAAACAATAGGTAACTCAGTATCATGATCAATAATGGTAACCGTATCAGAAATTGTGCCTGAAAACTCATTACCTGATGTGTTCTTACTGCTTGGAATTGGAATAGACTCATAGCAATGTGTAGTTGGTTCCAAATCTTTATTAATGGGAGTTTTGTGTCTCCTAATATAGACACGTAACTCTTTGTTGATAGTAGGAATAGGTTTAGTTTCAGACTCTTTGATACTGATTTCAGGAAAATTTGATGAGGATTCGGGAATAGTGAGGGGAAAAAAAGTGAGAGGAGGGGAAAAAAAGTGAGAGGTGGTGTACTTATATCCCATACTTGATATTCTTGATTAGGATTCTCCCCCTGAATATCATTAATGAGATAGAAGGACTGATTTTAAAGAAAGTGACATCCATAGTATTGTAGAAATGACGGGTCTTGGAACAAAAACATTTGTATCCTTTTTTACTTGGTGAGTATCCAACAAAAACACATTTAATGTCTTGTGGGTCAAGTTTACCCCTAAGGTGAGTATGAACATGAACATAGGTGGAACAACCAAAAACTTTATAGGGAAGGGTATGAAGAATATGAGATTGCGGAAATGCCCTGAGGATATCATAAGGTGTTCTAAATGAGAGGGTTCGGAAGGGCATACGGTTTATCAAGTATGCAGCGGTGAGAACAGTCTCTCCCCAATGAAATTTTGGAATGTGGGAAGGGAACATGATTGATCGGGCTACTTCAAGAATGTGTCTATTTTTCCGTTCAGCTATGCCATTTTGTTGTAGAGTATTGACACAGAAACTTTGATGGATAATGCCATGGTCAGAAAAATATTGGCTCAAAATGGTTTCAAAGTATTCAAACCCATTGTCTGACCTCATTACTTGGATGTTGGTGTGAAATTAATTTTGAATCATAATGTAAAATTTTTTAAAAATCTGGTCAACTTCAGATTTTTCTTTCATGAGAAATATTCAGGTAATTCTAGTGTGATCATCAACAAAAGATACAAACCATTTTGTCCCGATAATATTAGTGGCCCAAGAGGGACCTATACATCATTATGAATTAATGAAAAAGGTTTTGTGAGTTTGTAAACATAACTGAAAAATGAATTTCGAATATGCTTGGACAGCTGACATACTTCACATTGAAAGGAAGTTGGATTTTTATTTCGAAACAAAGTAGGAAATAGTTTTTTTAAGTACACGAAATTAGGATATCCTAAACGGTAATGCCATAACATGATAGGGCATTCCATATTTAAGTTTTTTACAGATTCAGGATTAGTACATACTGCATGATGAATTTGTCTATTAAGAGAAGAGTTGTCAACTTGCAGTAGATAAAGACCTAAATCGATACTAGCATTGTCAATCGTCTTTCCCGAGTTCAAGTCCTGAAATTCACACAGTTTACAGTTAAAAGTAGCCACACAATTTAAGTCCTGTGATAATTTACTTATTGACAGGAGATTGCAATCCAAATTTGGAACATACAGCACAGAGTACAAAATTAACTTGAGTGTCAGTACAATTATTTCTATTCCTTCGACCTGAGAGCTAGAGCTATCAGCAATTTTAACTGAGAATTTATTTCTGCACTTATTATATTCCTTAAATAATGAGATACCAAAAAAATTACCTTTGTAAGCTGTAGAAGCATTACTGAGAACCATATTGGGTGAAAACAATTTTTGGAGGAGGCTGATTTGTTCAGGACTAAATAAGGGGCTTCCAGTAGAAACGGTTGCAGTGGATCCCTCCTCTGTTGAGATAAGATTACCCCAACGAATTTCCTCCATTTCCTGCTTTCTAGTTTTCTTCTTCTCAGCCGATTCCTTCTCAACTAGTTTCCCGTGAAGTTTCCAGCATATTCCACGAACGTGTCCCGGCTTTTTACAGTATTCACACCATGGCCGTCCCTTTCGCTCAGTCACCCGACTTGTGAGAGCAGTACCAGTCTCGGGTGAAAGAGATATGCTTTCAGCAGGGTTAGGGTTGAGTTGCGAGTCACCTATCATCACTTTCTTCCTGCTTTCTTCGCATCACACCTCCGAGAACACCTCTCTGATGTTCGGGAGAGATTTGGTTCCAAGGATGCGTTCTCTTACCTCGTCGAGATTTTTGTTCAGTCCGAAAAGAAACTTGAAGATTCGTCTCTGTTCCACGATGCTTCAGAATCTCTTGGCATCCTCTGGCAGCTCCAAGCATGTTCTTCAAAAATATCAAGTTGCTGCCATTTTCGATTAAGAATATTGTAATATTGAGTTACTGTTTTTTCTTCTTGGCACAAGTCGTGAAGGTTTGCTTCGATTTCAAAGATGGCGGATGTGTTGTCATGAGTGGAGTATAACTCACGAGCTGCGACCCAGATATCGTGCGCAGTCTCATTAAGGAGGAAATCTTCGCCAATCTCAGTGGTCACTGAATTCACCAACCAAGACATAACAAGATTGTTCTCAACTTTCTATATCCGAGCATTTGAATCATTCGTGGGAGGAAGTGAGATTTCTCCATTGAGATATTCATCTCGGCCTTTCCCTCGGATGAACATCAACACCGAGGACGACCACTGAAGATAGTTACTGCCATTTAGTCAATGGCTAGTAACGAAAGATGGAGCCTGATCAGCCAGAGCATGGCAGTCAGGCACCGGAAGGTGAGAGCCCAAAAGAAATTCGGGCAGAGAAGGGCTCTGTTCACCCATTGCCTATTAAATGCAAGAGGGATGCTGAAGAATTTGGATCAAGCTTGCTCTGATACCATGAAGAACTTGAGAATAAGGAAAAAAACTTCTCTTTTCTTCTCACTCTCTTGTTTTTATTCATTGATAATCAGCAACATTTTATAGATAAAGGAAGAAAAAGACAAAAGCTAACAAACTTCCCTAATGGAAGGAAAAAAACAGCACAACCTGGCAGTAACCATTTTGTTATATTGTCAGGTTGTAAAAAACAAAAAAAAGGAAAAAATACAGAAAAATAATTCTACAAAATCAATGAAGCTGAAAAGTAGAACTAGTCTTTAAACATGTGTTTCCAAAAGGTTACCTGGCAACAAAATATTAATGGAAAGGTAAGATGAAGTCCAGTATAATGTTTCTGAAAGTTAAAAGTTGGTCATCTATTCAACTTTTTAGGAATTTTCATGGAAGTCTTATTTCAAAAAAAAAAATGGATGACAAAAACAGCACTTAGTGTTCAGAGATTTATAGTAAGGTATATTATGGTTAATAACGCAAAAACCAAAAAACAAACATGGTTGTATTAAATAAAACTAGAAAATTGGCTATTTAAGAATTATTTAGGAAGAAAATAAGATAGGGAAGTTGAGTTACTTAGGAATAGAACAAAAGAGAAATTTGAGTTATTTAGGAATAGATTACAAGAAGAAAGCTGCAGCAGAGATCTTTTGTTTAGAATAAAATAAAATAAAATAGAAAGTTGAGCAATTTAGAAAGAAAATAGAATAGGAAATCAGGCTACAACGAAGATCAGTTACATCTGCAATATTGTTAAACTAGTAGCTATTATCTTCCCTATATATTTGCAAGCTATTTCATCTGTAAGATCATGAATGAATGTAAAATCTATGGAACTAAAAGGTTTTAGAATACTTTCTCTGGAAATTGAAAGTTACCTATAACGACTCCTAAACCCTACTAAGGGCAAGAAAAGATAAATCACAATATTGAATGGTAAAGAAATCCACCTATAGCCTTCTAGTAGAAGAACTCCAAACCATAGTTACAACCAAATCCAACAAAAATCAATGTATTATCATCCCCCACCCCCCCAATTTCTATGTAACACAGAAATAGAGATATCAGCAAATTGCTTGTTGGCCCTATCCCATAAGGCCGCCAAAAATGTGAACTTGAGTCAGAAAGGTATGATCTTTAAAAATCCAATTATTTCCTTCCAACTACAACATCCACAGGCCTGCAAACAAAGCACCCTTCAAAAAATTTTAGCTTCTTGTCTCACCCTCTCTCCATATAGATTTGAACACACGAAATAATCCAAAGGAGGTGCAACCCACATCAAGCCAAACATATGAAACAACCTTGTCCACAACTTTCAAGCCACTTCATGCTAGGAGTCTCCCCTCTCCTGCAACACACAATAGAAATACCTAGTGAAAGAGCACAAATAGGCCTACGACTTTGCAGCAATTTACTAGTACTAAGCCTGTCAAGAACAACGACCCAAGCAAACACCTTAACCAGAGAAGGCACTTTAGCTTTTTGAAACGCATTATTGAAGGGAGTATGATAGAAAGTAAGGTTATGGCTTACGTGGTCATAGAAGGCTATACATGAGCACAATCCCTACAACTTTAAGGCCAAGATCCTGCTATCACAGTGTTGGGAACACCAAAAAGTCTCTAACAAGCTTAACAGGGTCGGCATATTCTTGCTCTCCCAATCATTAAGACTTCTAAAAAAGTGGAGATTCCATGATTTAATCCTTTCTTTCTGATAAACAAAATGGGAAATAAGGGCACTATGATATGAGGGTGTTGAGAAGTCTAAAGTGGAACAAAGTTTGGTAAATGGTACATTAGTAATATACCTCTTGTTATTTCAATATATTTCCTTTTATCATCCATAGAAACTTTTATAAATAGGTTCCTCATATTTCAATCATAGACACATTTCCTTCTCCACATGGATCAGAGCCATAAGTTAAGAAAACCTGAACTCTTTGACGAATGTTATTTGAGTTTTATTACTGAAATAATATAGAATCTAAAGGGGATCAGCCTTCATAGTCGGCACCACAGCAGCCACCATCACCACTGGCCTTCATAGCTGGACAACAGCCAGCTGCATGTTCCACTACAAACTGCGATGCCAACCTATACAGGTGCCTCCTGCTGCTTCTAATTCCTGGCAAAGGGAATATTATAAAGACGAGAAAAATGATTGGCTAATGGACTCCCACCAAACCAAATATCCTTATAAAGCAACACTCTTGTGCCATCTCCTACTCTGAGGTGTGTAAGGTGAATATATAGGTCGTGCAAAGGAGAAATAGCCTTCCATAGATTCTTGTGGGTAATGGAGTTACCTGCTACAACATCTCATCCATTTCTATGACCACCATGAATACTTATGATCACCTTGTGCCAAAAAGAACAAGATCATATGAAAAATGTCAATCCATCTTGAGTTCTTTTGTCAACACATCTGCAAATTGATCATTAGTTGAAACATAAAAAGTAAAAAGTAATCCACTATCCAACTCTTTCTTCGAAGTATCTATCCACTTCAATGTACATTTTTTTATCATTTTGCAAAGAATCTTGAGCAATATAAATGGCAACAAATAGAGATGGCAAACTGAGTAGACCTGTCAAAGACCATTCCAATTACTTCCTAAAAAACAATATGGGTTGTACCAAATACTGTATATAATATATATATATATATAAATATTTTGAAGTTTTAATTAAAGATATAGTATAATATACAAACTTTAAAACTAAAAACCTAACCCTTTAATACAATCAACACTTAAACCCGTTGTCATCGTCCTAATATCCTCCATCACCTTTCTATTGAAGCTGCCGCTGTCATGTCCATCTTCTTCAACAGTTGCAGACAATCAATATCCCCTTCCAACAGTGCAACGTTCCTTAAATAATAGGTAATGTTTGGGAGGGTTTCATTTTAGGACAGAGCCAAAGGAGAGTATTAGCTAGTCTTTGTAATGCAATTTTTTTTTCGAAATCAAAGAATGGGGTCTGTTTTCGCATTTTCGTTCTTTTTTTATATGTTTCCCCTTCTTAGAACTGAAGTTTTGGGTCATGTTACCTAGCTTGTGGATCTAAACATGAGTTGGCTTTGGTTGCCTGATTAGAAGGTTTAACCCCTTTAGTATATGGTAAAGAAATTGAATTAGGTATATGATGATGGTGACAATGAAGAATTTGTCTATTGTCTTGTCTTTCTTTTTTTTTTTTCTCCTTTAGGAAAAATTGGAAATCTGCATTTGATATATATTTGAAGCTTATTGTTGAAATTTCTCCTTATAATATAAACTTGAGTTTATTGCTACTGAAACCCATATGACCCTAGAGTAGTGCCAGTTCAATGAACCTGTGCCCTGGATCCAGGTTTTTGACAAAGCATCATGTATACACATAGTAGAGTAATCTCACAGGATGCAGAAGAACCATTCACCAAAAACACAAAGCTAGGCAAACTTCATAATAGTCCCATAGAAGAACTTAACTGAAACTAACAAGTAAAAATTCCAAAATACTTGAATTTTTTTTCTACTCTAGTTAATTAGTCCCAAGAACCGCTTTGTTGAAAGAAATGGAAACCCAGTTCCCCAGAAAAATTAGTTTATCCATCTCAAGTATCATCTTTCCCTTTTCACTGAATTTTTATTTTTTAGCAGCTGCGAAGACCAAGAGAAAATAAAATAAAATAAAATAATCATAACAAAAAGAGAAAGAAATATGTGAACATACAGTTAAAAATCCACTGAAACTATACTGCAATGTGGGTATAATATTTACACCCAATTCCAGATCATTAAGGTACGGGCCATTCGTGTCCATGATGGATTTGACATCAGGAAATCCAGAGAAAGCCCAAGTGTGGTTGAGGCGAATACTATAATCAAATGACCGCGGTCCTTGTTCATGAAATATAATTGCTCCTTTAATTTTTGGATTCAAACAATTCCTGAGAAAAGATAAAGATAATTCAATTTTTGCCAGCACCATGATCTAATATCAACGATATCTTAGGGAAAAAATCAGAGACTAAAATCTTCAATTTTTAGGGCTGTTTGTAACAAGAAGACATGACTAATAATAGATCATATCACAAACTGCAAATCCCATAACCATGAACAATGAACAAAACTATATATGAATATTACCAAAACTACGAAGCATAATTTACAACCATAAATTGGGGCAAAAGTAAAATCTATAACCAGACAAGATGCAGCTTGCCTCAAGAAATTTGTGGAAAAAGAACGTGTCTGTCAGTTTCTAGCAAGACTAAATCTTGAATATGAATAAGTAAAATTCAAATATTGGGAAATGAGAAAATTTCATTACTCAATGAAGTAATTTCCTTTTTTAATACAGACTGAGCAAGAGAGGGGTCATGTTAGAAACTCGCTCTACTGATAATTGGAGTTTGTCTCACAAGGCTTCATACGTCTAACAAATAAAAGAACTGAGTCACACTAGGAACTCATCTCCTGGATTAGATAAGAGGTATAATCTTTAATTTTTGCAAGAAGCTCAGACAAGTCAAAGAAAAATGTTGAAAACTGTATGGCAAACTTAATACCTCCAGCAAAGAATGAGGATACAAAACTACCTCTCAAAAGACTCCTAAACAAGTTTGTATGGTCAAACTAGTAGGAGAAAGAGAAATCTGCTGACTTCATTGCTTTCAAAGCTGAAATTGAACAACGAAATCAATTGAAGGATATTAAGAAACCCATAGTTACAAGTGTAATAAAGCACTCAAGTTTGTTTTCCTTTTCACATGGTTTCAATGCTTCAAATAAAACATTTGAAAATTCATGAATTGTAGACTCAGGAGGCACTGTTCATATAATCAATACTTTTTAATACTTTCATACATATATTCTCTATCCAAGTAATGAGAAAATTGTTATTGAAATGGTTCTCTCAATATCATTACAGGTAAAAATAACATTAAATTTAGTCATATCCTGATCTTAGAAAATGTATTACAAGTTCCTAAACTATGTACTAATCTTATGTTATTCAATAACTTATCAGAAGATTTGAATTACAAAGTAAAATTTATCTCTTCTCATTATAACTTTCAGGACCATAACTTGGGAAATATGATTGGACATACTAAAGTCAAAACTGAGCTTTACTACTTGAATGCATCTGGAGTGATTTTTCTCTGCTATTAGTACCAACCCTGTACAGAAGTTTTAGCTCTACACTAAAAGATTTGGACACCTTTTTTCATTTTAAAGGTTACCTTTCTCTTATTATTCAAAATTATCATTAACAAGTTGAAGATGGATAATATCTATTCCCAGTTTGAGAAGGAGTGTTAAAGAGAGTATACTTTATGAAATTAGGTTAATTAGTACAAGGGTAAAATAGACCTTATGTAATTAATTGTCTATTTCTATTTCTATTCTACAAAATCTATATATATATATATATACGGTTATGATATTCAATGAAATGTGTATTCAACCATTCTTCACATACACTTCTACCAGTTCGCGCTCAATCTCCCACCAAGTATCCTGCAATCAGTTGCCGCCTAACTAATTTCTGTGATGGCCCGACTTTTCTATTCATGCTTCTTACATTAATGGTAAATCTTCAACAATTTACTTACATAGGCTATCCCGCAATCTAGGAATAAGTGAAAATGTGTCTCCCCACCATTATAGCAGATAACTCAGACATCAGGTAACAAAGAGCGATCAAGACTACAGACTTGAAGCATCTCATTATTATTAAGCCTTTAAAAAATAGCAGTCCATGTTTGCACCTTTACTTTCAAAGAAATTTGAGCATTTCGAAAGAATTGGTTATTTCTCCAACTAATCTAACTAACTAATTCTTTTTCTTTCCCGCATTACTATAGATCCTGACAGAATGCTTTGCATAGCATCTCTATGGGCTAAGGCACATGTTTGTTCTTGGGGATTGCCTTTGTCGATTCTGCAAATGAATTGGGAGGCTGTCATATTAAGAACAGCAATCTTTTCCTATTTTGTTTAATTTCTTGGTTTTGTTTCTCGTTTTTGAAGATGATATCTTATCCTTGTTCTTTACAATCCCTGTCCTTCTTCTAAAGAGAGAGACATGTGGAAGAAACCACGTTACAGCTTGAGTTTACCATTCAAAACCACTCAGTTTAACTTCTGCAACATAAATGGAACAACTGACAGGTAAAAGAACATTATAATAAACTCAAAAAAGTGCTGCAAAATTGTAAAAGAAAAAAAATCTCCTAAATAGCTTGATATCAATAATGAGATGCTGAAAGAAAAAGTTCTGACTACAACATACTGTCTTCATGTCAATACCAGAGACCAAAAGTATGACTTACGTGACATTACTGCAAGAACCATAGAGATCAGATCGTATGTATGTTTCCAACTCCAGTTCGTCTTTGTAAATTCTAGAAACTAGCTGCAAAGATGATTCAAACAAGTTTTGTTCAGGCATTGAAACTCCGCAATCCAATAAAGTTCAAAAGCAACTGATTGCTCAAATGCAACTACGACATATCCCATCAACCCAATTGGATGGATAACTTATGGCCTTTAAATATCTTCAGAATCTGGCCCATTCAAGACTCGTTAAAAATGAAAAGAACCCAAAATTAGTTAGGAATAAGAGAAGCCAGCAGTGTTTCCATGTCTGAATGAAAGAACAGGAAGTGCAAACATGGACATGCAAATAAAGCACGTTTTAACAATCTGACTTTAACAATTGAAAAGCAGGCCAAACGTAGAATATTTAAAAACAAGAATAGAAAGTAACCTTCAGTTTAGGAAACTTTATTGACAATATATTAATCATCTTCCATGTTTCTTCTGTATCTGGTGCAAAAGCTAAATATTCTCCTTTAGCCAACAACAATTCCAGAATTTGTTGGAAATTCGGCGATATACCCTTTCCCACCTCCACAAACATGTCTTTCCGGATATATCTGCATCAAATCAGTATAACCACAGTGCCAATGGCTAAAGAAGTTAAAATTTTAATATTCCCACAATGGTATAAAATTAAAAATTTTTAAAAAAAATGCTTGTGGACCTAAATATTTCAGACTATTACAAAACTAAAGATAGACTGTCAAAAGAATTCTGTATATCTTCTTTTTTTGTTTACAACTACAGTTCCTTTTATAATGGAAGCAGAGGACTAGAATAGTAAAATACTTAAACAACAAAGAAACAGAACAAAGTAATAACAAAACTAACGATCTAACAAATTAGTCAATCAAGATAACTAACTTAATACTCCCCCTTAAGATGGAGAGTATAGATTAATAGTACCCATCTTGCTTAGAAGAAGGAAAAATTGATTTGGCAAGAGTGCTTTGGTCATCATGTCTGCAAGTTGATTCTAAGATGATACATGCATGATCTTCAATATTCCAGATTGTATTTTCTCTCTAACAAAGTGACAATCCAGTTCTATATGTTTGGTTCGTTCATGGTAAACCGGATTTGACGCAATATGTAGTGCAGCTTGGTTGTCACAATATAGTAGTGCTGGTCCTTGATGTTTTTGTTTTAGTTCCTGTAACAAGCTCATTATCCATACAATTTCACAAGCAGTGTTAGCCATGGATCTGTATTCTGTTTCTGTAGAGGATCTAGACACTACCTGTTACTTCTTAGACTTCCAGGATACAAGAGAAGAACCCAAGAAAATGCAAATCCTGTTAGTGGACCGTCTAGTATCGAGACAAGTTCCCCAATCTACATCAGAGAAACCTTTGATTTGCACAGAGGATGATGAAGGAAAATGAAGTCCTTGCCCAGCGGTTCTTTTGATATACTGCAAGATTTGTAATGTAGCTTGAAGATGTCTTGTTCGTGGTGCTGCCATGAATTGGCTTAGTCTGTTAACAGAGTAACACAGATCTGATCGTGTGATCGTCAGGTACAGTAATCTGCCAACTAATCTTCGATAACTTGTGGGGTCATCAAGGAGATCTCCATCATCCTTTGATATCTTCAAATTTGGGTTCCATGAGAATGGAGGATGGTTTGCATCCTGTATATCCAGTTTCAGCTAGAAGATCAAGGGTATATTTTCTTTGACATAAGGAGATCCCAGATGAATTTCTTGTTACTTTTAAACCAAGGAAGTATTTGAGTGGCCCTAAATCTTTCATTTTGAACTTGGTGCTTAGGGCACGTTTTAAATCTTTGACTGCTTCATCATTATTGCTTGCGATAACTATATCATCAACATAGACGAGAAGAGCAAGAAAAAGATCATTGTTTACTTTGATGAATAGTGAATGATAACATTCAGACTGCTTAAAACCTTCTTGGAGTAGTACAGTAGAGAACTTGTGGAACCATTATCTCGAGGCTTGCCTTAAACCATAAATTGATTTATGTAACCAACATACGGCATTCGGTGGTAGACTCTCCCCCTCTCCAGGGAAGTACCCAGGAGGCATTGACATGTAAACTTCCTCTTTGAGATCTCTGTGTAAAAAGGCATTGGTCATATTTAACTGAGTCAAATTCCACTTAAAAATAGCAGCAAGAGAGAGTAAGATTTTTACAGTGACCAACTTGCAACTGGGAAAAAAGTGTCTATAAAATTAGTTCCATGTTGTTGCGTGAATCCCTTAGCAACAAGTCAAGCTTTGTGTCGCTCTAGGGTGCCATCAGCTTTATATTTGATCTTGAAAATCTGTTTACAATCAACAGGTCTTTTTCCTTCTGGAAGAGAAACAATGGTCCAAGTCTTGTTGCTTTTCAAAGCGTCCAGTTATGTCCGCATTGCTTGCCGCCAAACCGGAGAGGCAAGTGCTTCAGAAAGAGTGGTTGGTTCTTGTTGGGAGGAAATGGCACAAACATAGTTTTGTGTTATTTACTTTGGTAAAGAAAGGAAAGATGGACTCATAGAAAATGACATTCCTAGAAATGTGAATTTTTTTTGTTTCTAACTCCAACAATTTGTATACTTTGTATCCAAAAGGATAGCCAAGAAAAACGCAGGCTCGAGCACGAGGGGAGAATTTATTTCGATGAGCAATAAGTGTGGAGCTATAACATAGGCAACTAAAAACCCCAAGATGACTATAGGATGGTTTGTTGTGGTTTAAAAGTTTGAAGGGTGTTTTATTTGACAACAAGGCAGAAGGAGTTCTATTAATGAGGTAGACTGCAATTAACACGCAATCTCCCCAATATGTAATAGGGACATGAGATTGAAAAAGTAATGCTCGAGCTACATTCAATATATGTTGATGTTTCCGCTCCACAACAGAATTTTGTTGTGGAGTTTCAATGCAAGAATGAAAAGACATGATCCCTTTAGATTGAAAGAAATTTCTAAAATCTAATTCATGTGCGTTATCGGATCTTACGGACTTAATTGGGACCTTGTATTGGGTTGATATAAAAGCATAGAATTTAGGGAAAATGGAAAGGACTTCGGATTTAGTATGAAGCAAATATACCCAAGTGGCTCTTGAATAATCATCAACAATGTTAAAGAAATATTTGTGTCCTTCGGGAGTTGCAATAGAAAATGCTCCCCATATGTCTATGTGTAGTAAATCAAAAGGATGTTTGAACATATTATTTTGTGAAATAAATGGTAATCTTTTCTGTTTGGCCAAATGACATACTTTACAATGTGATTGCAAATCAGAATCCAAAATAACATGAGGTTCTTTATTGAGAAATTGTATTTTCATTTTGGATGGATGACCTAATCTAGCATGGCAAAGGTTCTGTCTAGATACTATACTGCTGGAAATAAAAGATTTATTACAAGAAATACCGAAGTCCAGAAAATAGAGATTGCCTTGTCTTCTACCCTTCCCAATCATTAAGTCCCGTGTAAGGTCCTGAATAACACATGAATTAGATAAGAAATTAAGAGAACAGTGATGACTCGAAGTGATCATGCTAACACTCAGGAGATTAAATTTGAAGGCAGGAACGAATAAGACATGATACAGAGTGAGTAGTTCGGTGAGCACAATAGTGCCTACTTGGTTGACTATCACAGTGTTTCCATTAGGTAAGGTAATTTCAATAGGATTAATCTTTTTAAGCTCTGTTAAAAAGGAGAAATTACAACAGGTGTGATGCGTAGCACCAGTGTCTATTATCCATGTACTCAGCGAAGGTGATTTATCCGAGAAGGAAAGGAAGGTTGGTGAAGGTAACTTACCAACAACATGGGAGATATATGGCTCGTTGAGGGAGACGGGTTCGGCTGTTGGCGAGTCAGCAATGAACGGACGAAGCTGGACACTGAGATGAGCGATCAATTCTTGGATTTGGTCGGCGTTGAGGGAACTGGAAGAAGTTGCAGCTGAAGCTGTCGAAGGGGAGGTAGAAGCTGCAATGTGCCCTATCCTTCGTGAAGAAGGCTGAGAGTCATAAGTGGGCTTAGGTCATGCATCATTCTGCTGTGGTCCAGACTGGGCCTTGGGCTTGGGCTTGGGCTTGGGCTTAAGGCCTGGGGGAAACCCATGTAATTTGTAGCAACGGTCCACTACATGACCGGTCAGCCCACAGTGGGAGCAAACAGGTCTGCTTCTAGATCTTCCTTGGGCGGCCGCGACTGTGGAGCCAGGAGCAGTTGCAAATGTCATTGGCTCTGTTCGGCCTTCACTGCTAATGGTGCGTTGTCGTTCCTCTTGAGCAACAAGATTGTATACTTTTGAGATGGAGGGAAAGGGGTCTAACATCAAAGATCTGTCCCCTTATACCTGTGAAGGATTCATTCAACCCCATAAGAAACTGCATAATTTGTTCTTGCTGTTGATATTCTATCCATGTCTTCATGCCACCACAATTACACACTGGAATCGGTTGATAATTTTTTAGTTCATCCTAGAGGATCTTCAGCTTCGTGTAATAATTATTAATGTCGAGAGACCCTTGTACAAGATTTTGCAACTGTTGTTTGATTTGGAAAATGCGAGGTGCATTGCTCTGTTGAAATCGCTCTCGCAAATCGGACCAGATCGCTTGCGCAATATCTAGATAAAGAAGACTATCCGCAATTTCTTTTGAGACAGCGTTTAGGATCCACGAAGCTACCATACTATTGCAACGAGACCATATACCAGCCAACATGTTAGATGCATTTGGCTGGAGTATTGTGCCGTCAACAAAACCGAGCTTGTTCTTTGCATTAAGAGCCATAGTCATTGCTCGACTCCATGTGTTGTAGTTTAGGCCTGTGAGAGTGTGGGAAACAAGGATGAGCCCCGGATGGTCTCCATTGTGGAGAAAATATGGGCTATGAGCATTGTCTGTCACAGCCGCTGTGTTGGACGATGCCTGAGCAAAGGAGGAGGCAAGCGGCTGAAATTGATTTTTGTTATTTTGGCCTGAACCACGAGCCATTTTTAGCAATTATTACTGTTGATGAAGTCAACGGAAAGGTATCGCTCTGATACCATATTACAAAACTAAAGATAGACTGTCAAAAGAATTCTGTATATCTTCTTCTTTTGTTTACAACTACAGCTCCTTTTATGATGGAAGCAGATGGCTAGAATAGTAAAATGCTTAAACAACAAATTAACAGAAATAACAAAATAATAACAAAACTAACGATCTAACAAATCAGTCAATCAAGATAACTAACTTAATACAGACTAAGTTTTTTGCTTGCTAAAAACTTCTTTTATGCTTCCGCAATGATTGTAAAATAAACTTTCCTCAGAAAAAAAAAGTCGGATCACGTAAATTGCTGATAAAATTTTTGATTGCCAATAACTTCTTGCAGTCATGTGCTTCGTATTTTTTAGGTTGTTGTAATTATTCTCAAAAGATTAATATAATTTTTATCCTTTGAAGGAGCAAAAATATTTACCCTGAGAGAATGATTGTTGGTTTACAAAACAATAATCTACTTGATAAATCTAAATATATTAATTTCTGCATAGCACGATAATGGCTTAGACTCCATGTTCTCATGAAGAGTCTGCAAGCAATAACAAGATTTACCGTGCAAAAAGAAACAGAGGAAACTTTTTGCTCCTGTTGAATTCTAACTTCCCCAGAAATCAGACAAAATCATTAAAAAAAATACATAACTTCAAAAACTGCTCCACGAGACTTACGGTTGAGCTGGGTGAATCTGCGTGTCAACTCTCGTCCTGACCGCAATTAAGGCTAACATGACAATTGCAGGAAGCAAAATCTGACGAATATGAAATATTAGCATTACAATTTTATATCTTCACAGGCCGTGAATGCATTCTAAACCATCAACACTTAAAAAAATGTTCCTTTAAATGGATTTTATGACAGTGATTTGAAACGTTAATTTCGTTTAAAAAATTGAGACCTAATATTTTTCTAAATAGCACTGCAAAACCAGAGGCAGAAAATTCTCGCATCAGAGAAGGAAACAGATTCTTGAGAGAGAGAGAGAGAGAAAGAGGGAGGAAGCTGAAAAGAAATGCTTCAAAGGTAATGTCAGGAACTCAAATACAAATAAATCAGATTTTCAAAATGATCCAAATTCAAAAGAAAATGAGAAAAAAAAAAAACTGAAATCAAAATCAAAATACAACGGGAACCCGGAGCGGAGAGAGAGTAAAAATGTTTAGAAAGCAACGTCACCAACTCAAAGTTAAAGGAAGCAGAAACTAGAAATAATCCAAATTCAGAAAAGCAACTAAAATGAAAATTGAAATACAACATAGCCAAGACTAGTGTGTGTGTGTGTGTGTGTGTGTGTGTGTGTGTGTGTGTATGAGAGAGAAAAGGAGAGTGAACGGGAGAGAGAGCGACCTCAGCAGCAGTAATAAAAGGATGACGAGCCTTGAGAAGCCAATTCTTCCGAAGCATGGCTTTCAACTGCCTCGTTGAAGTTCCCATAGCGAATTCGGACGTGAACAGGAACCCTAGACAGAGAGAAAGGGAGATTGCTTGCAGAAAGAGAAAGCGATATTAGAGAAGGAAAGACGAAAGAAGTTGAGAAATGGCCATAAGAGGCACAGAAGAGAAAGCAGAAACGGAAGAGTAAGATTGAAGATTGAATGTTATTATAGTTATACAGGGAAGATGACAAAAGCGAAAAAGGAAGGTGGAGACTGGAGACTGGAGCGGAGATGGCAACTGTCAACAATGGATGTTAGCGTCTGGACATATGGAAATTTTAACTGCAAACACCACCAAACCTATATATACATACAGAGTTCAAATATATATGTACCGATGAAAATGTATATATAGACGTTTTGGTTAACAATTTAATTTAATTAAAATAAAATATATATATATATATATCCCCCATCAATCTCCGTAAAAAATTAACTCACAAAAATTAATTAAATTTTAAATTTCATATGTTTTATACTAATTAACTAAATTATTATTGGTCAAAGAATAACGTTTTCTAAATATAAGGGAAAAAGAACTCAAAACTTTAATGATTAAATCTTATTATAACATTTGATTACGTACTTTGACAATTAATTATATGATTATACTATAAATAATATATACATATATGTATATGTATTACGTGACACTCAATTTTTAGCACATTATTTCATTATTTTGATTGTCATATTTTCACTTTGCACATGCAAAATAAAAGATTTGGTTGATTTTTGATTACTGCTATAAGAGGCTTTATTTATTTATTATTATTTTTTGCTTCAATATTAAAAGAACGTCATGTGTATTATTTATAATCAAGGTTTTTATTTTTTTTTCTAATATTTACGTACTATTAATTAAATTGTTTGTTTTATCTATGTAGATAATGCTCAGAAACATATGTTTTAAAAAGTCTTAGTTAATAATTAATACATGGTTAATGCTTTACGAATGGTATTGGAATTTGGGATAAAATTATTATCAAGAGTAGCTAATGGTAACATTTGACACAATAATTTATGTTTGAAAGCAACCACCACATTGGTTTTCTTTTGAAATTAATATTTTATTTCTCATTAAAACACGACATGTATAATTTATAAATTAGAGTTAAAAAATTTATTAATTTGTAAAAAGAGGTTAATTTTTAGCTGATAAACTATTTTTTTAATGAACTAAATTTGAGATAGTCTGAATCCTAAAACACATTACAAATTGTACGTGTGTGTGTGTGTGTGTGGGTGGGTATATATATTAGGTAGGTAAGAAAATATGTGTATCTTTTACTCATGGTCTCTTTGGAATTGGAAGAGGCAACTTATAAATTGATTAATTTTTTCAAAAAACCATGGTTGAAAATAAGAATATTATATACATGGACAAAGGAATAAGAATGATTAAAGGTGGGTCTATTACGTGTCTATCTATGCTTATACGAACTTCACTTGCTTTTTTCTTTTTAATTTAAAAAAACACAATAGTTTATTAATTTAATTATAAGATTAAATGTAATTCATTAAAATAAGATCAAATTTCACTTCCCGACTCCCTTTATTATAATTTTTATTTTTATTTTTATTTTTTTAAAAATGTAGCTTTAATTGAATGATGTTATTAACCAAAAAAAAGAGGGTGGCGATCGGTTGCTTTCTTTTTTGTTGGTGTATTAGTTAAAAAAAGTTTCTTCCCCCAATTTCCATAAACAAAATTGTTTTAAAAAATCATTTTCCATTGGTTATTATTGTTGAGATATTTTCAATTATTAGAGATTTTAAATTAATTATTTAATGAAGAATGAAGAATGAAGAATGTTTTTTAACAGAAGAAATAATTAATTAATTAATTATAATAATTATTCTCATAGAAGACTCAGCACCAGCACATGCCTAAATGCAGGTAAGTCAAAACAGGCGGTTTAGAAGCTCAATCCAAGAAGCTTCATTGTGGGTCCACTAAGGATGAATTATTTTGGTTCCAATTGAAAAGTTTGATGAAACTAAGAACAGAACATGAGTGAGGCTCAATGATTTTGTTTACTATCAAAATGGATTGAATTATTAATCTTAAGTACATGGTTTCCTATTTCTTTTTTAATTTAGATTAAAAATCAAACTTCAGAAAATTATCTTTACTGTCCAAAACAAAACAATTTATGAAGCCAACTCAGCAGAGAAATTATTTTTTGTGGTACAAAGGAGTTCATTCATGCTGTTGTTACTCTGTACATAAGATATATTCATGAAAATAAAAGCTATATTATCCTGTAAAATAAATTTTTTATTAAAAAAAAAAAAAAAAAAAAAAGAAGAAGAAATAGACAAGTAATGAGACCTAGTAGACATCTCTGGAATGCCAACAGATAAAGGCAAGATTCTACTGGCAGACTAGTTGATATACTTTTCCTTCAGATAAATAAATAGTTAAGTAAATGCCAAAACCCTAACCTTTATCAGTCAGGTAAACTGCGCAACTTTTGCCAAAAATCATTCCTCTGGCTGGAAGAATGTATATGTTGAACTGGTCTCTGTCTTTGTCACCTGTGTTGCAACGTGCAATTCCTTTCTGATTAGTAGTTTACACATGAAAGAGCAGTATGTCTGACCAGTTGTTGATTGTCAGATAAAAATTATATTTATAAATCAAGGGATAAATACTTCATGTAATTTAACGCTACAAACTACGTGATTCAATAAGTCAATTGACCAAGGAACAAGTTCTATAGAAATTAAACTGTTATACGTATATTGTGTGAATTTCAGCTCTAATAACAACCTCTTCCAGAAAACATGCAGAATATATGAACTTCATGATGGTAGCTGAAGAAAACCAATTTATTGGTCTTGTAAGAACTTCTGCAAGCGGAACATGACTGGTTTTCTAACAAAAATATCAGGAAGACTAGCTTGACTTCTACAAATTTTACCTATGTGGCCTTGATGAAAGTTTTTCCAAAGAATGAACAGAAGTATTGTTGATTGATAATTTTATTGAAGAGTTAATTTTCCTCCTGAACCACGAAATCCTGAAAAGAAGAATTTGTTTCCCCCATATGACTTAGTGTTCTTAAGATTAGGAAACTCCCACAACGCATTTATATACAACTACCAATATTAAAGAGAAAAGCTTGGGTAGAATGGATACGAACCTCTGGGTTACGAGATGATCCAGTAGGAAGAATTGGAACAAGAGATGTCCACAAAATGGGGTCTGCCAGCGGATCAATGGTATTATAGCTGGTTACAAGTGGAGCAGACAAGATAGGAGCCAACGGATACATATTTCTCTGAAGGGGCAATCCTCCACCCATTCCTAGTGCAGCTCCAAGACTCTCATTCCCACCTTCATGACTTACTGATTTCTCAACTGCCTTACCATAGTCCGGCCTATTAATGGTATTTTTGTTTTCATTATCTTCTTTATCAGAGTCTTTTTTTTCCTTTTTCAATGCTTTTTCTTGCAAGCTCTTATAGGCAGCTGACTGAGACAAGATGCTCAAGGCAGAGACTGTTGATCCTTTGGGGGTTTTCCCCTTGATGAACATACCCAAACGTGGCATTTCATACGGTTCTGTTGCCTGGACTGCCCAGTCCAATGTTTTGAGTTCACCACCAATATCTTCTGCACATCCATGTTTTGTTTCTTCTGATGACTTACTCGAACAATCTGCTTGACGAGTTTTATTGGTCCCCCACCACTTAATGTAGCTTGTAAGATCTATCTTTCTCTCAATACAAAAATTACTTAGAAAATCACTCTCAGTTCCTGGATCATCACCTGCAACTTTTAATTAAGTTAAATAATAGTTATGGTGATTTTGTGGAAATGTTTATATTTGAAACTCAATTCTCCTCCAGAGACACAACTACTACCTTAGATTGAAAAGTTAACAATAACTCACCGTAATGAATGCTATTGAAGTATTCAGGTGCAGCCCCACGACCAAATGATGAGTCCCATCGACTACTTCATGATGGCCAAAAAATAAAACCAAAAGCAGGAACACAATATCAATAATAATCATTCATATATACAACAAATATTGTACGAATATGTCTATTGGAAGATTTCAATAAAGATAAGAAGTCTTCATCGAAAGAGAAATGAAAAATGGAAGTATGAAAACCATAACCACTAAACTTCAGGTGGGAGACAAGTAATTAGAGAAAAATGTCAATATTCTATTTTAACGGACTATTTAGCTGAGAACTCAACAGACCAGAGGACATTCTTTTGAAATTAAACATAAGAGTATTAACCACTAGACTACCATGTTGTTGGTCAACGGACCAGAGGACATGAAATGTTGATTTGTCATAATTAACAGAAAATGAGCTAAGTTAGTTTTCTGTTACTAAACAAAATGCCATGGGCATTTGGAACTCATTGAACAAAAAAGATGAAGCCATGAAGCATATCTGATACCTTGTAAGCCCACGATATTTAGAGATTCCTCTAGAGAAACCACTGCTTTTTCTGCAAAGAACAGATACGCTAATCAAAGGGGCGGTTTTTGTCAATGAGTCAAAGCACATTTTTCCAACCTACACACCTTCGAAGAGATGCAAGGTATTCTTCCCTTGAAACATTCTGCATTTCTTCAAGATCCCTTGTATAATCAGTAACCTGCAGCAGTATTAAGGTTTTGAGGTAAGAAGTATTCCGATAACTTAAGAGTAACCCAAGAGCAAGAAGTATTAAGTTTTTGAGGTGAAGATTCTACCAAACAACATCATTGACAGGCTGCACCCCAAAAACAAAATGTAACTGAAGCAAGCGTCAAGAAAGAACTGTTTGGATGCTTCAGCATTTTTTCAGTTAATTGCTAAAGCAGATTGAAAGACCACCAATTGAATGAATAACCAAATCTTCGACTAGAAAATGGACCACCAATAGACCACATTGTAAAAGAAAAATAAATTTCTTTCCTTTCAATTAGTTGAGACATGTACCATGTTCAGATTATATTATGCTTAGTAGGGAAAGAAAGTTTGGTTCTTTTTGTAAGAAGGCTAACAAATATCAACGCATAGGATATATTATGCAGCTAGGCTATCCAAAAGGTCAAAGCGTAAAAAATGAGCAATCTCTTACAGGAAAATTTATCAGTGTCCCAGGGCCCCAATATTTTAAGGCAGCAAGGTCATATGCTCTAGCAGCAGCCTCCTCATCGTCATATGCTCCTGTCAAGAAGTCCTTTGTACATAAAGACAACTCATACGAGGGAAGAAAATTAACAAAGAATGTACCGCATCAAGTTACAGACTTACCCAAATAAACTGCCAAAACAAATTGTGCACCAACCACCACATGGACAAATAACAATAAAAACAGAGTAAGTGAATCAGTAAATTTGGGATTTCACTGTTATGCCTTTTGAGAAGCATGTACAATTACTGGATGTTTATGTTGCCAAAAAGAGATACCTTGCTTTCCTTTCTTGTTCTGATTTTGGTTCCACGTACTTTTATCCCAAAGATGAGCTTCGTATCGACCAGTCCATCTATGCCTGATACACACGAAAATTGAAACCAAAGATTCTGAATATCACTAAACAACATGATGTACAATTTACAGGAATCTTTGACGATAAAAATAGTGAAGAACGCAGCAGACAAGAAATTACAACTTCAAGCGGTTGCACTTCTTAAAGAGAATTTCTCCAAGTCATACATGTTGACAGAATCACACATGTAGTCGTGTGCGTCAGCAGCAGGTGTTTATAAGTATTAGACTATTTGACACATACATATACATACCGATATACGAGTGTAGGTGATTACCTGGTAACTCCACGGTATATGGAACTCCGTTTACCGGCAGTGCAGGGAGGCATTTTACTGATGCGTTCCTTGGCAGTGCAACCTCTCTCTTTCTTTGCCTTCTTCAGACCTCTGTACAGCAACAGCTGATCGTTTGCAACCACTGCCTCTGAGGTCTCTCCTCCTCCTCCTACACCGAGTTCCGGTTTCAGCCCAGGATCCGAGGACGATGCCGACGCCATGATTCGAATCCACCAAAGCCCTAACCCTAGGAGAGAGGAAGTCAAAAGCACAAATAGTGTATTATAGCAGCGGAGAAGCTGCAGTGAGAGTGATAGTTAAGAGTGAGAAGGCAGCGAGAGTCTTTTTTTTTTTTTTTTTTTATTTACCGTGGAGGAAAGGTCCGAAAGGGAACAGGGAAGAGGCCGGAGGATTTTAAATTACGGAAATGACCTCGAAGGGTTGTTGAAATGATATTCGGTGATTGGGAATCGGAATATGTAGAGCGGCTGTAACGGCTAGGCCGGGGTCGAGGGTAGTTATGTAATTCTCGATTGTTTGAAAGTTGTGGGCTGCCATATGGACGCAGAGCGCTACTTGTCACCTGTTGGTCAATTTTGGTTGTGATAGGTGTCAAGGCAAGGGGCGTCGGACCCGCAAACGGCGTCGTTTCCCTTTTGAGAATACTTCGGAAAGACGGGAGGGCAATCATAACATTTAAAACGTTTAAGACCAAAAAGGGCATTTTGCTTCTCTTTACCGTGACAAATATAACATGATGAAACTTACCATTTTATTTTACCGTTTCAATATAGTTTAAGTTTCTTTTGCACTCTTAAAAATGCTAAAAAAAAGCCATGATTCAACTATTTCTGGTATTCAGGATTTATAACAGAAAAAGAACTAATTCATAAAAGAGGTACAATTTTTATTCATCAACACAATTAATCCTTGTGAACCGAAGGCTGATTCCGACCATAGCATTCTCAATATTTAGGTATGCGCATGCATACCGTCAAATAGTAAATTTGATTGTATTTACATTTATTTTACATTTCAGAATAAAATTATTTTAAGCTCACTCGGGAAGCATGCTACCATGTTCTCGGCAATAGCCCACGCCTACTCATTTTTCCATTTTGAATTAACTTACAAGGAAATAATTCCAGCAGTCACTGCATGATAATATACCTGCTCCATAAGATTATGACGGGAGTAGATATCTAAGATGTTGACCCTTTGCAGTCTGGTGTGTCAATTGAGTTAAACAGTTCTTAGATGGTAGAATTATACTTCTCCAGTCGTTGATTCGGAGATGATCTTGAAGTGAGCTGGATATAAAACAGGTGTTTGCATCTACCATGTACATCTTCTGCTCATCTTCAATGATGAGTTTTGAAGTCAAGAAACTTCCCCAGATCAAGTTTGATTTGCTGATTTCCTTCTCAAGGATTCTGTACGTCCCAACACAAAAGTGTAAGTTCTAAATAAATAATACTTTGCACAAGTAACATTACGATTGCTGTAGCGTGCTAATGCACACCCTGTTTGTTGCAGATATAAATAAACAAAATATAACTTAAACAATTCCAAAATGGGTAGAAAAACATCTCAAAACAGCACAATCATGGTTAAAATATTTCTAGATCTAAGGAGAAGCTCTTGAACAACCATAATAGCTGTCTTTTGGTTTTTGCCTTTGGTTCCTTGAAAAGATTAGGAAGTGAGGATGGACAGGAAGCACCCTATTCAAGAAACAAGTTCATACCAACAGTTTGAGAAAGTACCAAGATAAGGGATAAATGTATGCTAGGGAGTGAGAAGAATTTAACATTCACATGCCGTTATTCTCTACGGACCCCACACAGATATTATGGGCATGCACGAAAAAGTTAATACAATTTTGATGGACCCCACTACAGTAGTCTACAACCAAATGAGTCATTCAGAAAATATGATGAGCATCTGCCATTTAAACATCAAGTTCCAAAAGTGTCTGGCCAATGAACAATTGTCCTTCACATAAAACATTCATTATTATAAGTTTTGATAGCCATTCCTCAGGTTTAATAAAAGAACACACGTAATATTGTGAAAGATAAATGTAGAAATCATAATTTATTTTATTTATTAATTTAAATTTAAATAAAACTTATTTTTATTTAGATTTAGAATATGTTTATTTTTTAAAAAATCATGTTATTAGTAAAAATTTATCTTTTAACATATTTAATTTATATTTATCTCTTAAATAGTGGTATATTATTTTTAAAAAATTTAAATTTGATATAAATCTATTAAAAAATACTTTAAGTTGTTAATTTTAGAGATGAAGTGAAATCAATAAAAATTTAAATTTTCTTTATTTAGAAAAAATCCCAATAAGTGGCATCAGAGCTTTCTTAGTCATGAATATATGAGAAAAAAAAATTATAGAGAGAAAAGCAATGAAGAAAAGAAGAAAAACAAAATTATGAAGAGAGTCTTCATTGCCAAGATATCAAACAAGTCTTCATCAACATCAAAGAGAAGAAAATTTCCACCATACAGAGTACACAAGAAAAACAATCACAATAAAAAAAATTGCTACCATAAAAGTAAATCACAATATTTTTATTGTAAAACATTTGAACATAAATAAATAAATAAATAATTGCAAGTGTTAGAATGAGCAAGCAAATGTTGTTGAAGAAGAAGAAGAAACTCTTATTAAAATTTAGCGAGAAGTGCATCAAATAGTTGAAAATTGATGAGAAGTGTATCAATAATCGGAGATTTGTGAAAAATGCATCAATAATTAAACAGAAGTGTTTCAGAATATGAACATCAAACAAGAAATATTGGAGAGAAATACTCCAACAATATAAATTTAGTGATTGTAATTTCTACATTAAGAGAGAATGTTGAAAATAAATGTAGAATTTATAATTTATTTTATTTATTAGTTTGAATTCAAATAGAATTTATTTTTAATTAAATTTATAATATATTTATTTTTAAAAATATCATATTATTAGTAAGAATATATCTTTTAAGAAATTTTATTTATGTTTATTTTTTAATTAGTGGTAAATTATTTTTAAAAAATTTGAATTTGATGTAAATCTATTTAAAAGCACTTTAAATTATTAATTTTAGAGATGAAATGAAATCAATGAAAATTTAAGTTTTCTTTACTTAGAAAAAATCCCAACAGAATCCACGTGATATTATAAAAATCATAAGAGGAATAAAACATTCTAGCCAAAGAGATACTCTAGTCCAATTAACTATATTGCAACAAATAAGTATCAGCTTACCAACTCTTTCACATATTATAGGTGCATACTCAGCTCCACCACTTTTTTGTGCAAATGAGAATATATCATGGAACATCCCATTTGAAGGCCGAATTCCTGCATCCTCCATCCACTGCAATACCTGCATAAAAATATTCTTAACTATTCTTAGCATCTGCGAGCATGTGGGTAAAAAGAGAAAACTTGAGAAAAGAAAAAGGAAAAATGTTATCATTTTTTAGTCCTTGAACTATTCACTATGTAACATAATCTATGTTACAATTAGATCCCAAAATCTTTTTCTTTATAATTTGATCCATAGACTCACAAAATTTGTTAACATTTATGCTATGTTTATACAATTATGAGAATTTCGACGCAAATTAATGTAAATATGTTCTGTTCTACACGTTCTTTTTATTGAATTTGAAAATTGTAACAACTAGATATTAACCTTAATAAACTTAACAAGAACAGCCACTTTGTTTTATTTAAGCCATGTACATGATATTAACAGGCATTAGAGAACAAAAGAAGATCTATAATTATCATTTTTGGAATTTTCTTTTCAATTTATAGTTCTAGATTGAAAAATTATATTTTTAAGCCATTTTTATGTCAATTAAGCAAGACAAGAGGAAATTTGCATTTTTATAAAAGGTTACACAAAAAAATCATGTTAAGGAACAATTTTGTAAGTTCAGCAACCAAATTGGAATAAAAAAAGTTTGACTAAAATGCAATGTAGTCTATAGTTCAGGAATTAAATTGGTAATTTACCTAGAGAAAAACTTATAAAACGAGCTTCAAACAACGTTTAATAGCCCAAAACCTTTTGAAGGTAACAGGCAAAGTAAAATCATATTATTATCCATTATAACAATCAGCAGAAGTTATGTGGCAGCCAATAGCAACGACATGAAGATGACAAAGATGTCCATGGATTAAAACATGAACTCATGATTGGATCAGCTTTACCTCGATGTCCTTGCCTTTCATGGAACAATGACCATTCACTTTTTGCCATTTAGATAACTTATATTTCTATTGGATTAAAACATGGTACTTTTCAATATGGCAGATGAATTCTCTTTCCTAGTTGTGCATCTGCCAATATTCTTATAGCAAGATTGGAGTGCTTAAGGATGTCTAAGGAAAAAAAAAAAGGACCAACATACATTACCAGCAAGGCCATATTTGCTTTCTTTACTTAAGAACTTCATTGTTAAAAGAAGAAACTAAAACTTCATGAATGGGTTAACTCTGCAACCTGCATGCCATATAACTTTAAAAAAAAAAAAAAGAAAAGAAAAGGTTACCTCAATGTATTTTCTCCAATTTCCAGCACCCAAAAGATTTTTTAACAAAATCGAGTAAGTGCTGAAATTCAATTCAGCACCAGATGCTATTAACTTGTAAAACAACTGCATGCACAATGAAAAAAAAGGAAAATTATTGGTGATCAAGACATGAAAATCAATTAGTTGGAACAAGCATATACATTGGGTTAGCATTGTTATAAATTTGAAGACACCCGCAGGTAGAAAAAACATCATAAAAATTGTCACTAAGTGCCTAAAATACCTTCATCATTGGTTCAATTTTTCCACTTTTTCCAAGAAGATTAAGAAGCTGGTTAACAAGTCCAATGGAAACCACAGGAAGTGAAGGCTCCATCAAATTGATAAGGTCTATTGCTGTTTTCCAATCTCTCAAGCTTCATTCAGAAGTACAATGGTTAGTTAAAAAAATAAAACAATTCAACCCTAATAGATACAACATCATGAATCAATAAATAAAGGAGTTGAGACAAAGTAGTACAAATTGGATAACAAAACTTGCATAAATAATGAAATATAAGGTAATAATTTTCTGTTTCCTTTTGTCGGTCCTCATACTGTGTACAATCACTTTGATCACTTTAAACATGGATTTCCTTTTCTGGAAGAACTATACCATAGTTAAAAATTTCTGTCAATTAAGGTAGCTATACCAACTCAGTATAGTTCAAAGGTTGGAAACATTTAATGAAAAAGATTTATAAGGGAGAAAAAGTACATTGAGAATATCTTTATTAGCATTGCAATATACTAAATTCAATTAAGACAGCTATACAAATTCAGTATGGTTCAAACATCTGGAAACATCTAATGAAAAAGATTTATAAGGGAAAATGTACATTGCGAACATCTCTATTAGCATTACAATATACTAATTATACATTTGGAACTTACATGCTGCAAGCTGACAGCATTTCAAGGAAAACAGCATCAGAAAAGGGGATTTCTTTTTCTCTCATAAATGCTGCCAGCGTAAGAACCTTTGATGGTTGACCTCCTTTGTTGAAAGCTCTCATCAGAGCTGAACAAGCTATAGTGTCTGGTTGGATATCAGTTGTTTCCATTTCTAGAAATAGTGCACAAGCTTTTTCCCAATTTTCTGAATAATTATTATAAATAAGAGAAAAAGAAAAAAAAAAAGAAACCTAGAAATATTAGTTCCAAAGGAATTACTTCCAATTATTGTCTACTCATCTAAGCAATTTAACATACAACCTGACCTGAAGAATTGTAGGCATGCAGCATTGTAGTATATGTAACAACATCAGGACTACAACCAGCCATCTTCATCATGTTGAACGTCGATTCTGCCTCTGCAACTTGACCCTACAGGATCATAGAAGAGATGGGGAGAGAGAGAGAGAGAGAGAAAGAAGTTATAAATCCCTTCTGGTCATACATTTATAATAACAATTAGCATCCTGTTCTCTTTTTTTTTTCTGAAATAACAATCAGCATCCTGTTTAAAAGGGGGAAACTTTAGCACTTACCTTTTTGCTGTGAGCACAAATCACACATGAGTAGACCTCCTTTGTCAAAGAAATCTTTAGATCCATCATTTCATCAAAAAACTCAAATGCTTCATCATATTTTGACATATTACAGCAACCACTTATAAGCACGGTATAAGTAACAGAGTCAGGCATGACTTTCTTTTTTCTCATAGTTCTGTACAAAGCTATAGCTTTCTCACATTCACCCACATTCATATAGCTCCCAATAGCTGAATTATAAGCAATTGTGTTCAGTTTTATTCCTCGTAACTCTGCTGCAGAAAGAACAGCTTCAATTTTCACCTTTTGATCACAACGGCCACAGGCAGCCAGGAGAGTACATATTGAGACGACGTTTGGCTTAATACCATCTTGCTCCATTTGACGCAATACATCTACAGCTTCAACTAACAAATCATTTGACCCATAGGCATCAATTAGTGCATTATAACTAACAAGATTGGGTTTCCAATTATCTCTCTTCATCAAGTCAAATACTTCTTTCGCTTTCCCAGGTTGATGTGATCTTCCATAAGCATTAAGTAAGCATGTATAAGAAACAACATCTGGGCGAAGGCCATTTTGCTTTATCTCACTGAAAACTGAAAGAGCCTCTTTACTCATTCCACGTGAAGCATATGCACCCATTAATGCATTATAGGAAACAACATTAGGTTTCAGACCTTCAGCAAGCATTGTACTGAAAATGACTTTGCAGTTTTCTATCTCTCCACTCACAGAATACAAATGAATGATGCTAGTGAATGTTACAATATCAGGCCGACATTCTGATCTCTTCTCCCTCATGGAATTGAAAATATCAATAGCTTTCCCATATTGCCCAAGCTTTACCAGGCAATAGATTACAATATTAAGTGTAGTTGTGTCAGGACGAATTTTTGTTCCTTTCATAAGCTCAAAATAAGATAACGCTTTTGCATACTGAGCTCCATTCTTAAATGCAGACAACATAATATTATGGGTGACCAAATCAGGACCAACTCCATTTTCCGTCATTTTCTTGCATACTTTCACAGCTTCCCTCCAATTTCCACTAGACCCACATGCATTGATCAAGTTGTTATAGGTTGATCGACTAGGAGGGATCTGTACACATATAGTTATTAGCATTAAATTGATGCCAAACCCCTAGGAAAATAAAAAGAATCAAAGAAATGAAGAAAGAGGTGCATATGCATGTTTATCCATGAAAGCATATAAGAATCACATATTTATGGAACAATCAAAGTAAAACCAAACGGTTTTAAGAAAATACTAGGAATAACAACGTAGAATTTTCTATCTCCACCATCATTTTCAGTATTGCTATTGTTCTCTTCTTTGGTAACTAATTTATATGGATTTATGAATGAAGTACATTTACATCTAGGGGATCAAATTTGAAAATCTTATGTACCAAAGGGTGTCTAAGCTTCCATTGTAGTACAAGAAAATTATTTTTCTTTTCTTATTAAGAAAAGGATTAGAGTTATTATAAAATTGAGGATCGCAATGTTCAAAATCAGAAAACACTATTTGACAACCACGTTACAGGTCAATGAGATGGCTGTGATGACTTGGACTTTTAATAGTGACTTAATCCAAAATAAGTTGTTCTATTTCGAAAAATCAATACTGCGCAAGAAGAAAATGAATAAACCAAGAGAAGAAGGTAACTGGATAAGTTAGGTTCCTTCCCTCGACCATCTACTGCAAAACATTGAACAGAAATGTTTATATTTTCCTAGAAGAACAGTACCACGAAAATTTTAGCGTTTCCTCAATGAATCTCTCAAACAGTCACAACCACATTCCTCATGTTGTGTGCTAAACTTAGTAGTTCACGCTAAATGAAGATTTCTGACTACCATCATCAGACATTAGTGCATATCTCTCACCCAGCGACAATACTATGATAATCAGACATAACAATTCCAAAAATTCCCTCCTTACTCAGGTTCCATTTTTTAACTTGAAAAGAAAGAAGGATGCTCACGTGAAATAAGACCCACTAAGATTGATCAGTGAAAAGAAATACAAGTACACACAGCTGCACGTAGCATGTCTTCCAAAATATTCATAGCCCAGCGCCATTGACCAGCTCGACCATGTGCATTGATAAGAGCATTGTAGGTTTCGGCATCTGGCTTGCATCTAGCAAGGAAACTCTTATGAGTAACCTAAATCATATGAGAGACAGAAGTAAAAGGAGAACAGTACAAACAGTAGATTTTCACTACAAAGTATCATAACAATTAAAAAAAAAGTTAATCATACCTCCATTTTTGCATCTCGAAAAACAATCCACGAGCCTGATCTGTCCGATTATGTCTAGCATGCAACCTGATCATCATGTTATACATATCGCTCCGAGCACAATAGTTCTTCTGATTTTTCATCCACCGAAAACTTTAACGCTATGCTCAATAGAGCCCCTTTG